GGAGAAACAATCGAGGTAGACTTTTTTTCATTTGCTATTAAGGTAAGATAAAAAATGTCGCATGAACGAATCACCTTTTTTTTTTCTTTCTCTTTTTTTCTTGTTTTATAAGAACAGGTGAGAACCAATCCGAAATATAACTAAATATATTTATTAATACATGTTGCATTTGCTTCTTTTCTATCTCAGTTGGACGGAAGAAGAGTCAGTCGTCTGTTTATGTAAATCAGTGTTCGGTCGGTGGTCGTGTAATGACGTTAGTTTGTAAAAATAATACGTCTTCTACGCGCGAGCGCGCGTTCGCATTCGCATCTTTCTCTCTCTCTCTCTCTCTCTCTCTCTCTATCTTGCGCACAACACATCATGTCCGTAGATCGATTAGGCAAGAGGGTACGACTATTACTGCTGTTGCTCTTCCTCGACCAAAGTAGCAAATTTGATTTAGTCGTATGTGCTAGGCTCTTCTTTTTTTTTTTCTTCTCTTCGATGCCGTTCATACTAATATCATCATGTTTTTGAACACCGCATGTCACTGTCTATGTTGATTTTGATAAATCGGAAAAATATTTTTTTTCACATTTCTATGTGAAACAAAATAAAAAAGATCGTATTACATTGAAAACAGGTGGATAATAACAATAAGACCTCCTGATGTTTTATTTTTATTTTTTCTAGATTGAACAAAAAAAAAAAAAAATTTACATTACATATAAATATATGTATATGTTTGTTTAATTCAAATGCAATTGCCGATGATCGGTACGATGGAAGTTGATCGTGGTAAATAAAAACAAAATAATAATTTTAATTACAAAAAAAAAACAACAATTTTTGTTTTTATCTAATTTTTAGTATATGAAAATGGTAATCATTCAACTTATCATGAAGATGATGAATGTGATAGTAGTTCACATCCAAGAAAAATTTCACATGATGAAGATATTTTACCAACAACAGCAATGACAGTTGATGAAGATGATGATGAACCTGGTATGGAACACTAATAAGTTAAAAAAAAAAGTTTCCATCTATAATGAGTAGTACTAGTTGTGAACAGAAGGTTCATCTGTTTGATCACTATTATATCCCATGAGCATTTTCCTCTTATTGACTGTTGATCTGTGACGACAAAAAGATGAGACAAAAAATGCCGATACAAAGAAAAGTAGTGACCCCCATTGTGAATGAGAGACCATCCCCTTTTGATAGACATATATACTACCGACATGCATAAAGACAAAGAAAGAAGAAAAAAAAAAAAACCTAACTAGATCATCGATCATCAAATGAGACCATGTGCCATCAAGAAAGTATACTCATCCCACCCACTGTGAACAACTACTGTAGTGGAATTTTTCTTTTTATTCAAGTGATCAGATGAATAAAATCATAGACAGATGGATGATAAGTTTTTAACTATTGAAACTTACAACATCAAAAAAAAAAAAGGTTAATTTTTTTTGTATTTTTTAGAAAATAATTCATCCAATCAACAACAATCATTTAAATGTCCTTATTGTTCCGATGAATTTCTTCAAATAACACATTTACATTTACATACAACTCAATGTCATCCTGAACAAACAGAAAATTTAATTAGTTGTCTTCATTGTAGTGCAGTTTTTACTAATAAAGTAAGTTTTAAAATTTAACAAATTTTGTATCTATAGTTTTTTGTTTTGTTAAACATAGGATGATTTACATCAACATGAATTAAATCATAATGCAAGTCAAGTTGCATGTCATTTATGTAATAAAATTTTTGCAAATATTTATCGTTTACAACGTCATATGTTAAGTCATGAAGTTGATCCACAAACAAGAAAATTTAAATGTTCTCATTGTTCAAAAGCATTTAAATTTAAACATCATTTGAAAGTAATTTTAATATAACAAAGTAGAAGAAGAAAAATAAAAAAAAAAACGTTTTCTTGAAATTATTTAGGAACATGTTCGTATACATACAGGTGAAAAGCCATTTGTTTGTGCTAATTGTGGTAAACGTTTTTCTCATTCGGGTTCATATTCATCACATATGACATCAAAAAAATGTTATGCATATCCACAATCAACATTAAATAATAGTTTACATTCATCACCAACACAAGTACCACAAACAACAAATCCATCAGTAGCTGCTTTATTAGCTACACGTTCAATGCTTAATTTTGGTCCATTTGCATTAGCTGCTTTAGCGGCTGCAGCTGCTCAACAACAACAACAACAACAACAACAACGTAAAGATTCATATTCATCAACACCAAAATCTCATTCACGTAGTCCATCACCATCAACATGGCCATCAATATCATTAACAACTCCACCATCATCATCATCATCGGATAGAAATAATAATTTAAATCATGAAATTGAAGCTGGTGAAATTCCAACAATAACATCACCTATACGTAAACGTAAACGTCGAAGTTTATTATCAAATGATCATGATAATTCATTATTATCAACAACATCAACATCAACAAATGATTTACTTGATAAACAACAATTAAATATGTTACGTGCACATTATGCTTTAAATCCATATCCAAATGCAAATGAATTACATGAAATATCAAAACGTGTTGGTCTTAGTGAACAACATGTTCAACATTGGTTTCATGTTTTACGTACAAGTTATGCTACAGCTAATAATATTAAATCATCTATTAATACAGTCATTCCATCAACATCAACCGGTGGGAATCAAAATAATACAAATAATAATGCAACAACACCATTTTTACCACTTGCTTATTATCATTTACGTGCATCATTAATGGCTGCTGCAGCAACAAATAATTCATCAATATCTGCACCACCACCACCACCACCTCCACCACTTCCATTTTCATCATTAAATTCAAATATATCGAAAGAACAAACTGAACCATTAGATTTAACAGTAAAAAAATCTCATATAAAATCCGGTGAACAACAAATAGCTGCTCATTTACATATGACTGCAACAGTTGCATTTAATAATGATACAAATTGGTATGAAAATAAAAATGAATGGATCAAAGTATTGTCAAAAACAAAAAAAAATTTTTTTCTTATTTATTAAATATAAAATTATTTTTATGTTTTAGAATGAATCATTTAGTCCTGATAGTACAGCTGATAATTGTTCATCTGAAACAAGTCTTTTATCAAATGATGAATCATCATCTTTATGTGGTCAATTAATTGATAATGATTTAACACGTAAAAGAAAATCATGGAAAAATCATATACAAGGTGAAATGTATGCATGTGACATGTGCGATAAACGTTTTAGTAAACAAAGTTCATTAGCACGACATAAATATGAACATTCAGGTAAATACTATAACAAAAAAAAGAACAAGATCAATAAGAAATAATCGAATTTTTTTTTTGTTTTAGGTGTTCGACCATTTGTATGTGATGTTTGTACAAAAGCATTTAAACATAAACATCATTTAGCCGAACATCGTCGTTTACATACAGGTGAAAAACCATTTCAATGTACAAAATGTTTTAAACGTTTTAGTCATTCTGGTAAATAGAATTTTAAAGATAGTATTTATTTATTTATTATTTTTTATATTTTAAAGGTTCATTTAGTCAACATATGAATCATCGATATAAATATTGTCGTCCATATCAAACTGAAGCTGCAGCGGCAGCAGCAGCAGCAGCGGCTGCTGCAGCTGTTGATGCAAATCAATTGACTGATAATCCAAATATGATTATGGAAGATGATGAACTTATTGAAGATGAAGATCTTGAAGATAAACAACAACAACAATCTCAAAATGAAGAAGAAGAAATAGAAACAAATAATATAGAAGATTCAAATCAACAAAATGAGATAAATAATGCTACAATAAATGAGTAAAATTATCTGTTCAACACATTACCAACACTCCATTGTGCCATATTCCGCAAAAAAACAAAACGAAAATATCGAGTTTATATGTAGCCAGATAGAACCTTTTCAATATTTCTCATACCTCAATGAATGTATACTGAAAAAAAAAAGTTGAGAGAAAAAAAATTGAACTTTTCGGTTTTTTTTTTTGTTTTTTTTAGTCAAATGAAAAATTTTCGTTTCTTTTTCTAGTCGTTCTCTATCCTTCATTGTTGTTGTTGTTGTTATTATTGATGTTCATTATTTATATAAATATCTATAGATGTTTTTTCTTTTTTTTTTTTCATCCCATTATGTGTTTTTGTGTGTGTATGTACGTTTTCTTTCTTTTTTTTTTTCTTCTTGTGATTATTTTTCGCCGTTGTCTGTTGTTATTTGTATGTATGTATGTATTTGTGTGTATATCTATTGAAAAAGAAAACAACAAAATATAACACTATCACAGTTCTTCCATATATCTGTGTACAGAGTTTCTTCACTTCTGTTGCTGCTATTGAGTTATTTACTTTTTTTTTGTCTTCTTGAGAAACACCCGACAAACGTTCATTGTGATTGGTGTGTTTCTTGATTTTCTCTCGCTCTCCTTTTTTTTTTGCTGTTGTCTGATGATGTTTTATGTTTGTAAGTGCGCGTGTGTGTGTGGCATGTTGTCTTTAAGAGAGACAGAAAACCTTTTTTTTTTGGTAAAATGAAAAATAAAAAAGAATGAAACGGTCACCTGTCTGGCCACACACACATACATATATACATATATATATTTACATGTAGAAAGAAAGAGAAAGAAATAAAAAAAAAAAGATGAACATCTGTTCATATTTCGATATTCACGCATGGTGAGCATGTAATAGACATGGAGGACTGATGGTTTGACACGTATACTTATTGATGTGATGATCTAATCATCGGATGACTGGATATACACAATAGCGAACAATCATATATATAATATACTTTCTTCATTTTTTTTTCTCTCCTTCTCATCAGCCTATATGTACACCTAACTATATGTAAGCAGTCAACCGTAACATAAAAAAATCCAAGTTTGTTTTACCGTTGTCCTTTGTTTTTATAGATAAAAAAAAAGAACAATTTAGTTTTATTCATTATAATGGCAACATTTCCATTACAATTAACTGTTCCTCAAAAAGATGCTCTCGATGATATAACAGATGAAATAAAACAATTTGATTGGGAAGTCGGTGAATATGTGTTTAATGATTTTATTGAATATTTTCAATTACCTCAAATAATTCGTGTTTGTCAAACATGGGAAACAAATTTAGTTAAACATGATATACTTCATTTACAATCAATATATGATCGACATTTGATTATATCAAAATCTTTATTACCAGATAATCGAACATTCATTATTCCAGATTGGTTTCAAGGTCAAATTCGTGTCTTATCAACAAATCCAATATATAAACCACGTTGGTGGGAATTTACTAATGCTTTAGAATTATTACGTTTTAAAATGCCACGTGACCACATACGTTTAGTTCAAGATACATCTGCTCTATTATTATTACCAACAAATCAAACAATACCTGTTTTATTAAAACAAAATACACATCTAACATTAAAACGTATTGAAAAATCAACAACAATAACAGATGGAAAAGAAATGTTTGTTTTAATGGATAAAAATGATCAAGAATTTCTTCTTGATCCTACTGATAAAAAAAATGTATTTCATTTTGCTATAAAAATTCTTGATGATGAATTTGATAGTTCATATCATAAGAATACAATGGATAATTTATTTACATTACCAGAAATAATTATACGCTATGAATTACCACTTGATATTGAAATTGCTTCATTATCAAATACAATACCAATTGAAAATTTTCCTACCAAACTGCGTCTTGAAAAATTTTGTATTGGTAAATCAATTATTGCTTTTTCTATAGGTGATCCTAATCATCCACGAATATTAGAATTGTCTTCTCTTACACAATTTTCTCTTAATTGTATTAAGTAAGTTTGAAATTTAATTTTTTAATTCAAATTAAATGAAAATTGTATTTTAAAAGATGTTTAACAAGTGGTCTACCGCGTGATGCAAGTGCTTATGAAGAAGGACGTACATTTGATGAAAATGCTTATCGTCAGTATGAAGCTGCACGAGAACGACTTATACAACTATTTGAAGATGCTTCATTACAATATATCCGTACGCCTTTCATTGGAAGTCAAGAAGAAGTTTGTTTGAATTTATTATTATTTAAATACATTGTTGATTCTTATTTTTGTCTATGTGTTCGAATAGATTGAGTGTATTGAAAAAGTTTATGATATTGGTATGAAGTTAAAGAATGAAGATCAAGGCCAAACATATATTGTGCTTAATGAAGCAAGTAGTGCTACTCTTGAATCATCAAGTAATATACCATCGATTAGTAAACATCCAACTCGATTTACCGTACATTTACCGGCTGACTTTAGTAAGTTATCGTACATATGATTAAAATATATTTGTACTACAATTTCGAAAGTAAAAAATTTCGATTAGATTTGAGCTCGAAATATTCATCTACATAGGAACTTCGAAGTAATTCATTTATTACTAGAGATATTTATTTTCTCAAATATCATTGGTCAAACTGATAAATATCTGACTAAGTTTTACAAGAAACGTTGTTCTGACCAACATACAATTCAAGTTTTTTTTTTGTCAAAGCAAACATCCACTATGAAAAATCTCTTAAAACAACATCATCTGTATATAATGTTTTTTTCAATGAAACAAAAATACAATCCAAATCTTTTTTTCCAGTCTGCAAATAAAAGTAATTACCTTATTTCGTTAACAAAATTCCATAATCTATGTTTTTGTAAAGACAATATTTTTTTTACATATGTCATTATCGATGTTTGAATTAGCATCCAATTTTTATCAGATACAACTAAAATATTTTTTCTGATCACGTCATAAACAATATGACTAATTATTCCTTATTTTCTTTTCTTTTCTAGATAGCCCATATAGCAATGTTATGGATTTTGGTGATGATGATGAAGATCATGAAACTCCAGCAGCAACAAACACTTAATCAAATATTTCTTTTTCTTTTTGACAATCACAAGCATTCTTTTTCTGCTTCTTCTTTTTTTTTGCAATAAAAAGTTTCCTTGTTTTTATTCGTCTTTTTTTTAATCTTATCGGATGTATATAATAAGCATCTGACATATGCGCATAAATACATATATAGTAGAACATGAACAAAATAATGTTTATCATTAAAAAATCAAAACAAATGGAAAAAATTGTTTCTATGCAAAAGGAATAATATTCCATTGCCTATAATAATAAAAAAAAAAAAGCATAAACTAGATAAGAAAGAAAAAAAATTCTATCAATAAATATAAACTTACGGATTAACAATACGTTTCATCATCGTTGATTGTCGATAATCCGTTATAATAACTCCTGATGGTGTCAATGATATATTACTATTTGTTTGCATTAAATTTGTTTTATTGTTTGATATTGGTGATGATGATAAATTCATATTAGATCGTGTTTGTTTTATAAAACTATTATTACTACTTTTAGGACTATCAATTAAACTACGATTTGTCAAACTTTCTCCACTACTATTTAATGAACGTTGATGAAGTGCTGAACGATAATGTTGTCGACGATATAAATTTGAATTTGGTGTTATTGGTACTGTTCGTTTAATCCATATTTGACTTGTTCGATCCATATCTGTTGCACTACCTGGTGTTGTTGGAATACTTTCCTGACTTATGGAATTATTCATTGTTTGAGATATTGATTGATCCAAATCAGATGTAACGGATGGTTGAATTTTTAATATTTGCATTAATTCTTTACGATATGTTTCTCGTTCTAATTTTTCACCATCATGAATAACCTATTAGATATGAAAAAAACTAAATGATCTAAAAAAAAGAATTTGTTTTTTTTTCTTCGATCTACTTTTAAAATCGCTGGATCATTATCAAGTTCGGGAATAATCAGATTTGTTTGACTATGATATATAGACACTAAAATCGATAGAAATTTTCTTTTTAAAACATATTCAAGAAAATAAATTTTCTTACTTATCGAAGTGCTACAAAATGTATTAGATAAATTTCTATTCTTTCGAATCTATTACGCGATTTATATAACAGTCTATTTTCTATTGTTTCTCGACAGTTATGTTTTTACGAAGCTGCCTATATTGTATTTTCTTTCGTATTTACTAAATTCGAACAAGCTTTGTGTCGGTTTATAACGTCATCTATTGGTGACGTAGTATTTGCCAATAAGTACACTTCTCTTTTTATTTAGATTTTCTTTTTTTTTTCTTTTTCTTGTTTTATTGTACCAACAATGTCTTCTTCTTTGGAATCTGATCCTATACTTGTTAGTTATCATGACTCAATTGTACGTTTATCAAATTTAAAAACTCTTGATAATGCAAATTGGCTTGATGATAATATAATAACATTTGCTTTTGAATATCTACAATATGAATCGAAATTTACTAATGATGTTAAAAATTTATTTATATTTGTTACACCACCTGTTGTACAATTATTAAAAATGAGTGATAATTTATTTGCTGAACAACTTCTACAATCAATAGATTTTCGTGAAAAAATATTTCTTATTTTACCAATTAATGATAATACACGTGTCACAGTTTTTGGTGGTTCACATTGGTCGTTATTAATACTTTCTATTCAAGGTATGATAGTAAGAAGAAAAAAAAAAATTCATAATATTTTATTGTTTGAATTAATAAAAATTTTCTTCAGAAAAAATTTTATATCATTTTGATTCAATGTCATTATCAAATGATCATACAGCAAAAGAAGTTCAACAAAAATTTCAAGCATTTTTTCATGATCATGTAACTTTAATTAATTGTCGTTGTCCACAACAAAAAAATGGTTTCGATTGTGGATTATATGTAATTGTTATTGTTGAAGAATTTTGTCGATTTATTTATAAATATTATTTAGCAAAAAATTCTAATGAAGAAAAATATGGTAAAGAACTTTTTGAAAAATTTATGAATGAAATTAATCAATCTATTACATCGGAATATATTAATCAACGACGAAAACAATTAAAAACATTACTTGAATCAATGAGTGTTGATAGAAAAAAATAATTTTTTAAAAAATTGCTATCTATAAACCAGCATTTGTTTTATTTGATCTATGGAGTCCCTTTTTTTAATTAAAAATTGAGATTTATTTTTTTAAAATTATTCCATTACAACCACTCTCATGATAGTCGTTTTATTCATATTTATATAATGATTAACAGAAGCGCGGAATGACGACAAATAAATATATATATATATGGAATGAATCGAAAGCAATAGTATTTTTTAAGTGTGCTATTACAATCATTTTTTTTTGTCTCCATTTTTTTCTTCAAGCGGAACAGATGGGACAGAACAAGAAAAAAAAACAACAATCGGTATTATATACATTCTTTTTCATCCGAATCTTGTCTTTCCTTTCATTGTGTATTTGTCTACAATCATCCTTTCTTTTATATTGAAAAATTTTCTTCAATAATAGTATGAATTCAACCTATCAAAAGTACGCTTTATATATACTTAAAACTTTATCGTACATCCAATTTTTTTCGATAGATACATCAAGAATAAATCAATTATTTTTGTTTTTCGTCTTTTAGATTAACTACTTTTCAAACGCATATTGATAATTCACTAATCAATATGTCAGGTCGAACGCCAAGTTTTATTGTTGTTGGTCTTGTTATTATTATGTTTCTTCTTGGACTTTTTTACATGTCATGTACATCAAAAAATACGGAACTTCGAATGTCTCTAGAACAATTCGAAGAACGAATTCGATCGGTAAAAAATAAGAAGAACAAAAAAATTTTTTTTTTTTCAAATATATTCATATAATTATCTTTTCATTTATTAGTTGACAATAAAAAATAGTGATTCAGAAAAAAAACTTGACAATGTTATTTTACGTAAACGTGAACTTGATGAAGAAAAATTAACTATTCAACGACAAATGGAAAAAAAAGATTCTGAAATTAATGATTTAAATACAAAATTAAATGAAAAATCAGCTGAAATTCAAAGTCTTAAAACAGACAAAAATGTTCTTGATGAACAAATAGTAAATTTAATGAAAAAAAATTTCCTATTTCATTCTTTTATTTTTTTTTTTTTATTAACTAGAAAGAATATAAATTAATGAGTGAAGCAATTGTTTCAAAAAATTCATTAATTGAAAAATTACAAAAAGAATTAAATGATGCAAAAGGTTTGTAGAAATTTTTGTTTTAGTTTTTTTTTTTTTCGTCTACAAATTTAATCTCATTTTAATATGTTAGAATCTCATAATGATGAAGTAAATCGATTAAAACAAGAATATGAAACATTAAAAAATAGTCAATCGTAAGTATTAATTCAAATATTTTCTCTATATTTAAAACAATATTCTATTAGTTCACGAAATAATCAATTACCTTCACAAAATGAACAACAAAATACTTTTGTAATTCCACCACAACGTTTTCGACCATTTATATCAAATAATGTAACAACAAAAAGCATTGCATCATTATTTCAAGATCCTTTAAATAAATTAAATAATCTAACACAAGAAGTTAAAGCACAAATCGCTCCAGCAGCCTTAGATCTTCGAGATAAACCTGTAAATGGACTTGATAGTAATATTAATACAGCAACTAATGCAACATCAAATGAACAACAACAACCACAAAATATTAATAATGATAAGCTTCATCAAGAAGCTAATCAAAATGTACCAGCACCACCATTAGCTAATAGTGCACAAGAACAAGAACAACACCAACCAGATCATGTTGAATCAGCTCAAGCAGCTCCACAACCAGCAAACATAGCTCATGAAGACAGTGAGTTAAGAATAAAAAAAAAATAAATTGATTTAATTCATTGCACATCTTAGAAGATTAGATCATCTCAACAACATTAATAAGTAAATAAGTTCAACGAATCTAATTTAAAATACTAATTAAAATAATCAATTATCTATTAAGCACTCAACCCTAAAAAAAAGTCCATTTCCGTTAGATTAATCGAAATTGAAATAAGTGCATAGAAGAATAGCTTGAGGTCAAATCTGTCACAAACAATATTGTTCTTTTATTTGACACGTCTTTTTTTCTAAAAAAAAATGTGTTGCAATAATGTCAGTCATCTTCTGCTTAAAGAAAAATAAAAATTGAAATTTTTTTCATTATGCATGTCAAACTTTTTGAAAAAATTTCATTGTAGTTAACTCCATTTTTTTTTGTTTGAAAAGTATGTGAAACTGCAGTGTTTGTCAATGTTCATTCTCCTGATGAAGCATTTTTTTTAATATAGAAAAATACACTTCTATAAATAGATAACCATTTTTTTGAGACTTTTTCAAAGTATTGAACTTATCATCCTTATTCTTCGCATACGAAGTCAAAATCCCAAAAAAGAAACGACTGTGTCAGACATGGCAACCAAATATGCTCTTTCAAATAACGATACACCAGAGATGTAACCGATCTGAATTTTTCACAATCGGCATCGATCAGCCTATCGATTATCGGTCTATCATCGATAGACTAATCAGCCTCAAATTCATACTGATACTACAGTGATAAGTTGTCGTACTATTCCATCAATGAACATTGATGTTTTTGATGTAGGCAACTTTCAACAAAGTTTCATTACATATCTTCTACGAGATAATAAGAGCAAAAATGTAAATAAGACACAGCGGTAATGAATAGTCTACTGGCAGAACGGTCGATCTGAAACCGGTGCCGATTCTATCTCGAGAACCTACAAAGAATTTTAGACTGTCAAATGAACTATATTTTAATCGTTGTTTGATGAATGTTTCCAGACAGCGTCATGATTTAGGGCTGAATGTTTTAGTATGATGCTTCCACCATAGCCTTAACATAGCCTGAAAACTTTATGCAGTTTGAATGTACATGGCTTAAGATCGATTTTTGATATTAATGGGGTGGATAGGGCTTTAAACATGAATTATTTTTTAGATCAAGTAGCAGCAGACAATCCACAATATCAACAGCGTGTAAGATAATATTAAATATATATATATATATTTTATTTAGTTTTCTTCGTCTTATTCTCTAGTTACAACGATCATTAAATAATTCAATAGTTGATAATAAAAATATAAAACCTTCTGATAATGCTGACAATGAAAATGATGATGAAGAACAGATTGATGCAGATAATTTACAACAGAATATTGTTCCTCCTTCGAATTCTATAAAAGAAAATGATGTAGAAAATAATAATCATGTTATGAATGCTCCTTCATTATTACAATCGAATAATAATAATAATAATAATAACTATCGTGTAGGTAATCCTGAACGATATCGACAAATTAAAAATAAAATTCTACAAGAAGAATAATTAAAAATAATCAAGAACAAAATCGATAATGATAATAATACAAATAGAGAAAATCAAGATGTTCAAAGACACAATGTTTTGTGATTCACATTTTCGACTTTTCTTTATTTGCATATATATATATATATCTTCCGTTTTTTATCTGTTTCTCATAACATTTCTCTTCAAATATGTATTTCTGCTGCTACTGATGTTCTTCTCGTGACAAGTGTTTTTGTTTTCGAATGATTGTTTTTCCTGTTACTTGACAAAATACTGTGTGTATGTGTGATTTTCTTTCATTATTTTATTCATCCATATGAAACAAATTACTTTAGTTGAGATGATTTTGTTTTCGTTTTCTTTTTCTTTTTCTATTGATGTAATGGAAAAGAATAAAAAGCTCATATTGCAACAGTTGAAACAAACAAATGAAAGGTATAATTCAATAAAACTTTTCTTGGGAGTTTATTTATTAGAATTTATTCCAATAACAAAAAAAAATTAAAGTATTTTAGTTGAATGCATTTTATCAGTATGTTTCTACATGTATAATTATCTCATGTATTTTTTATTAATATTGTTTCCAAGAGTACAACTCACTATTGAAGATAAGGACAAGACACGCAACATAGAGAATATCAAAACTAGAAGATTTTATGCGTCAGGTGCTTTTCATTAATTACGTATGTGCCTATGAATCATTAGAGTCAAGAATCTAGATTGTAAAATTATGTCTCAACTTGTGAACACACTATCTTAACTGATTGACTATCTTCGAAGGCAATCTATGACTTGATGAGATAACCACTAGAAGTATGCTATAAATGAACGTGAAAAAAACCATGAATTTTTTTTTTTACAAACTCATCCGGCAATGAGATTAATCGATATAGAATTTTCATTATTTTTGAAACAGTCAAATCAACATTACATTGTTATGTTTGTAATTCTAAAGAGGAACTTTGCTGTTTATTTCGATTTTGAACCAAAAAATGTATAAGCTATTCGACAATAAAGTATTATATACATATCTCTTTCACAGTACTGTTTTCTTTATGATTACTGTCAAACTCGAATAAAATCGTCAAATGAGGAAAGTTCAGATTATTCTATAAAATTCTTAGTTGAAATGAGTACTAACGTCTGTTTGAAAAACGATGGTCAATAGATATTTTCCTGAGAACTTTGCATCATTGTGTTGTTTGACATCTTAAAAGTATAGACAGTGGTGCTACAAAGATAAAATAAAATTTTTTTAACTATATTTTTACTAAACATAACATATATGAGGTACGAACTGACTTACTCAACGAACACTAACATGTTGTTTAAGTTCGAGATATAATCGATTTGATAAGTATTGCACATATTTTAGATTTGAATAAGTTTATGAACAGTGGTACAAATCCTTTCACCCCATTACAAGCTGTGAAAAGTTTGGTGATGTACTAAATATTTGTTTGACTATAGTCACTAGATCTGCTCCTTTGATTGATTCTGGTTCGGAATCATAACTTATAGATTGCAGAGGATTAATGAATTGACCACAAATTCAAAAAAATAATTCGATGTCATCTACGCACTCGTTAACAAGAAGTATACATATCATTCTAGACGTTTTTCATTTTTAGACAATGTCAATTCTGCACAACTAATAGACTATTTTAGTTCATGGTTACATATGCATAAAACATCAGACTAATATTACAACGAGAAGTCATTGATGCATTCAGGATGAAATGAAACTCATTGTGGATGAATGATATGAGCAGAATATGAATTACATCACGGATACAGATTATTTATGACAGTTAATACTTCTGATTCATTAAAAATGAGAGAATTGATTTTAGTCACATCTCATGTTTGTTTTGTTCTCAAGTAAAATCTCGTGTAATCTTGTTAAAATGTCACCGTAGTCTACGGTGTATGAGTATGTATTAAGATAAGAACAACATTCATATTCTCGATTGTTAATTTGTGCGAAAACTTTCATTAATGAATCTCATACTTGAATCTAATAAAAGTAGATTTCCTTCAGTCATGAATCATATCATTTCAGAAAATAACACAAAACATGTTATTAGTTTTTACATTCATTATATATTTATTTTAGCTTGTTTACCTATTCCATGTAGTTATCAATTCAATGGACCTTTACTAATTGTAGACGTCGAATCATAATCTACTACTAATCTCATGAGTACATGTAAATTTAGTTTAATATTTTATCTCAAAAATAATGAAAGTATCTTTGACAAGGAGAGGCAAGCTGATTGATCACAATCCTCATGTCAGTTCATTATTTCTATATGATTGTATAACTCATCTTAACCATACAATTATCTTAGTATATACTAATAGTTCACTGAATTGTACTTAGAATAATTATACATGAATTCAAAGTATATTATTTAATCTATATTTAATAAAATTAATTTGCTTTTTTTAATATCTAATAATTCATATTTATGGAACAACATATATGTCAATGTACATAAAAAAATTTAGTAATATCATTGTTACTTAAAGTGATCCTTATTCTTCATACGATCTAATTAAATTTATTGTCTTGTGTAACTCGAATACGACTTCAATAGAAAAATTAGATAACTAGTTAGAGACATAGGATAGAAGAGTTGTTACAAACGTTAATAGTAGTTTTACGATAAACTTATTTTGATGAATAAAAATATTTTTCGTTCTGTTTGTGAATCATCTGAAGTATTATATATGCGAAATAAAAAATAAATTGAAAATAGTATCACAATTGAGTGGAATTCTTAGTATAGTATTAATATCAAAGACGTATGAATATAGAAATAAATATGATTCAAAAAATGTATTTATTTCAATTAGTATTTAATCAAATGAATATCAATGTCAATTCTAATATATAAGTGAGAAGTAATCAAGCAACAATCCGTTTCAAATCTTTTTTCCTTTTTTTTTTTTTTTTGATGTTTTATAAATGTTAATATCAATACCATTTCTATTGTCTTAAGACGAATGAACTTCTTCTGATGAAGTTTTCGATTCCATTCATGTTTATTCTTGATCATTTTTGAATTATATGAACGCATGCCGACGATACCGGCTCAACGTATAACTACAAATGAAGAATAACTTACTGCAGAATTTTTTTCATTTTGAAAAGTTATTTCCACATTGTAATATTTCAATTAAGAGATACATTATCATATACATATGAATTTATTATTTAAATAAAATGTCTTTTCTTCTTATTTATCAACATAGGCGATAGTGTCACAAGACTTAGAAAAACGATAGACTCTCTTTGATTCACGCTTCATAGACTACGATAAGTTAAAACACTTTTTTTCTTCCATCAAATTGATAGGTTTGAATAGTGTATCACATGTTTTGTACAAAGACCAAGAGTTTTCGTTGTCTACGATGCCTAATAATAGCACTTTCTCAATCGGGCAGACTTAGATAATGTTTTTGTTGAAACATTGAGTTTTCAACAAGTGAATATTGATTGATACATTATCGATGAATTAAATTGTGGATTCTTCAGTACAAGTCAAGAACAGCTGTACGAAAAATCTGAGCCAAATTAACTAATTAAACATTTTCAAGAGTGAAGAAGCTCACAAAGCAACATCTTTTCTTTTTGCAAAATATTTCTGCTTGGCGATTAAAGTTTTTTTTCATGTGAAGCAGATTAGAGTCTTTTCTTCTTCTTTTTGAAAGTCACATTTAATGGACACAAACGTTTGCATAATTTTTAATGTAAGTTAGTATTTTTTTGCTGATCTCTACCACTATTACACGTTGCAAACTGTAAGTTCGATAGAAATATAATAACTTCTATATTACTTTCTAGTACGGTAATAACGACAAAAATAGAATTATGCTGAAAATGCATAATTTAAAAGAACTATTCATTGAATAAGGTCGTGCAAGGTAGTATATCGGTTGATTGCTAGTGCAAGTACTGTGATTCTTTCTAATTTGTTCTGCTCAAGTAGTAATTCATAATGCCACTGGATGAATAATAGGTTTGTTCGAGGGATTGAATAAATCTATGCGTTAGTTCGACCATAAATATTTTATAAGTGTATCGAAAAGAAATGAAAAGCATAAAAAACAAAAGAAAGTAAATATGTCTGTTGAGTAGACCAAAGTCTTGTTTCATTCTATTTACAGTTGCATTTTTTTTTTCTAATCATTTATAATTGTGCTATAAGATCTTCTTGATGAATAATATACTTGAAAAGAAAAAATGTTGATATTAGGATTAAAATTATGAAGAGAAAAAGAAAACATATGATTGTGTTAAAGTAAATGATCAATGAAACGAATAGAATCACATCTCAGATGAATATAAAGAATAATATCGAGCTTATTCATAATTTGTTAAACAGAAACATTGAAACAGAACAGTATATAAAGGAGAGTATATACGACAGTTACATAGTTCTTCACAAATAAGTTACAAAAATGCAAGGTCATATTCTGGTAGCCTCCTTGTTCTTCATAACATTAACTGAAGGATTTCTTATCAATTGTAAGATGTTTTTTTTTTCTTAGTTATTCATTTATCTTATTATGCAATAATTCTTTTAGTCAGCAAATGTCCAATAAAAAAACATAAAGCAACCAAATATATAAAGGGTGATCCGTTATTAGTTCATAAAGATTTTGAAGATCGGCTTAAATCAGTAGAAAAAGCAGCAAAAGATTGTAATGTACATGTCTATGTCAAAGGTTCTTATTTTCAAACACCAGATCCAGCTCAAGCAGTTCCAATTGTTGACGCTGATTTAGCTATTGGTCATGGTTTTCGATTTGAACTTCGTGATACAAATGATGCACTTGTGTGCAATAGTTTATGTCTTTCAAGAAGTATGTGATTATTTGAAAGTGAAATTTCTCTATGGTTTTTTTTTTTCATCTGTTTCTTGTACATTAAGATCCATCGACAATATTTGAAGTTAAATGTTTCTTAGAAACAGTCGTGAGACATGGTTTAGTATGGTCAATGTCTAATTCAAATGTTATTAGTGATGGTACATATGAAGCAGATAAAAGAGGATATCACGATCTGAAAAAAGATATACAAACAAAATGTCAAAAAGAATCCTTTAAACGACAATTACAACGAGCACTTCTTGAAGAGAACGGAGATGATCAAGATTCTGAAGGTGATAGCCAAGATAATACAGATGATACTACTGACAAGAAGAAAAAATAAACTATTGATAAATATAGACTTTACGATTCTTTTAAATTTTCAATTGAAATTTTCTTTCTTTATGATTATTTAATCAATACTAAAGAATTTTAAGATTTTTCTTCTGTTTTTTTTTATTCAGCTTCTATATGATTCATGTTTGTTTAGTCTTCTTTTTTGTCATTTTGTTTAAGCATCAAAATACATTCGTAAAATATCTTATCCATTATCTCATTATTGTTCTGTACATATGTATGAATGATAGTGTTCTTTGACGATAGTTTTCAAATAATACCAGATCTTACATACTTCGACATTTATGCAAATTGAACGATCGCTTTTGTACAAAAATTATATATATATATGTGTCATAGATTTCTACGGATATGAAATAAACATAGTCCTTCTGTTGACAATTTTAATATATTAAGTGACTGAAAATAACACTAAAGCATACATACTGAAACCGATCAAATATATATCATGAGGCAAAGGTATTAAATTAACAAGCATTCGATAAAAAACTAACATTTATTGTGCTAGATATATGTAGGATAAGCTTTCTTTTGTATTCTATATTCTGACTGAAAAAATTTTCTAACTTTTGTCGTACCCTTTGACAAGCTTACCTTGACTCGCTCTACTTTGCAGGATAGAGTAAGATAATTCCCTGCACATCTCTGCATTGTACTGTAAGCGTAGGTATGGAAAAACCTGTTAGATCAATCCTGTAGGATTATAATGTGACATGCGGTTAAGCTGATAGTATTCATTGATAGAAATAAAGTTTCATTGTATTTCTTTTTGTAACAAATTTTCATATTATTCTTTCTTTCTTACTTAGTCATTCATCAGTATAATTAACATGTTGTATATATATGAAAAAGTCTCGTTATTGCCATTCAAACAATCGTTTTAAAATTCAAGAAAAGGTACTGTAAATATGAAACCAGTATGGACATTATAAGATGTCTATCAGGATGTTAACACGTCTAAATTTCTTCTTCTCTACGTCAATACTTCTAGTAAAAAGCTTGTTTACTAGCTTGGGAGTAATCAAAGACTATTATTTTTGTTGTTTATCTCCCTTCGTCTAAATATTCATGAATCCAACACAAAAATTTTCAACAGAGTACAAAACTTTGCTTTGTTTCATAAAGAAATGTAAATTTGATGAATGTTGCTGTACAATTTATCCAAATATATATTTAAAATATTACGACAAACCTTTTGAATATTCGTACTTTAGATTTGATTGGTTTGATAATCATTTAAATGTTTCTTCTTTTTCATTTTAAGATACCAGACAGAGAATCAAGTGAAATATTCGAATTCTTGTTATGAACAACGATTAATATCTTTGCCATAATTAAATAATTGAATTTTTCATCTAATGTAAGATACTATTATGACACCATTAGTTTTTCTGATATGCATTTGGATAAGAAAAAAATGAACAGTAGTTTTACTGCATTAGTCAGAAACGATTAAGAAAAAAGAGCGCAGAGATTTTTCTTTAAAAGCGGTTAAAATAGCAGTTGGCACTGTACAGAATAATGTTCAAGTTTCGAATAGAGAGTTGTTCAGTAAAAGAGATTTCAAAACTATTGACAATCAATATAAATGATTAGTGATAAACTCATGCAAGGAATATTAAGATGATAAATTCTACATTTCCATGAATTCTTATTTTCTCTACAATCAACTGTCATATGTAAATACAAGCTTATCATTTCATCGTAGAAATAATCTTGAAACAAAACTCTTCAAATATTTATCATTGACAAAACATCAGAATATTTTAATCACTTGTTTTAATTTTATTAATCGAAAAAAAAAAAAAATTCTTTTTCATGTCAAAGCTTGCTTAGCAAAAGAAAAAAAAGAAAACATCTCTGATGATCACATACATCGGCAAATGGAAATTAAATACACACTGGTATACTTGTGCAAAATAAGATAAACAAGAACACAAATATCAGATCTGTCGCATTATAAAAAGAAAAAGAACACATTAATTAATATGAAATATAATATATTTTTTTTTGTTCATTCAATATGGAATAAATTAAGTAATGTTTGTCGTATAGTTGTTAATTCATCTAGATTTTGTTCCCAATCAGTTTCACTTAATAAATTCATAACTTGTTCCGATTTATCATCATCATTATCATTAGAAAATAAATCATCATTAAACATAATCAATGTATCATATAAATTTTGAGCTGCTTGTCGTCTAACCCATGGATAATTATGAAGAAAAAAATTTGTTAATAATTTTAATATTAAATTTCTTAATTCAATATTATTAAATTGTAATAATGAACAATATAATTTAATAAAATGTAAATATAATGTTGGATTATTATTTAATATTTGTAATTTTTTAATTAATATATCTTCTAATAATTTAATTATATTTATCCAATGTTGTATAAATTCATTAGAATATTTTTCATAATAATATTGAAATGTTGATTGTGATAAAAGACGTTCACATGCTTGAATACATGGTATTATAATACGTAATTGTAATTGTTGTTTATTATTAAAAATTTTTTCTAAATCATTTAAAAGTATATTAATTAAATTATTATTTGTTTTATGTGTAATTAAATATATATATAATGCTTGACTTGCATTTGATAATTCACCTGCTGTTATTAAACAATTTAACCATATAACATAACGATATTTATCATATATTAATAATTGTACAATTAATGTAAAAACTATTTGAGAATTACGCCAATCAATATCATTTTGATTAAGAAATATTTTTTCTATATCATTTTTATGTTCAATTGTTTGTTCAAATTTAATATTTAAAAATTCAATTAATGCTTTACCACTTATCATACGTAAATCATCAATTTTTGAACATAAATTTGTTAAAATTGAACGAAAACAATTATGAAGTATAGTTAAATTTAAAAAATGTTTATTTTGATTATTTTCATTAATTAATTTAAGTAAACGAACTAATTGTGTACAAGCTATTTCACGTACAAGACGACCTGAATCACCAAAACGATCATTTGTATAATCACGTGTACAACGAAGATATAAATTTATTAATTTATTTATTATATCTTGATTAGAAAATGGTGATAATGAATCAAGATGAATATTTTCATATAGATTACATAGAGCAATAAGTGTATCTTTACGTTGTTTTATTAAATGTTGAGTTTGATTTGTAATTGTTATTAGATTAAATAAACAATCAATTATTTTATTAATTGTATTACTTTTTAATAACATTTTAGATGAAAGTGATGCAATAGCTAAAGAAAAACCTTGTCGTATATGTTCTTGAGATGTTGTAGAAATTTTTCCGAGATAACGATCGATTAAATGAGATGAACTGAAGAAAAAAAAAGAAAAATGATTACAAAAGAAAGCAATTTCATCGAATATAATTCAATTTTGTTCAAATAGTGAAAGTATTCATTCTTTTATAAGTTATACTATGAATTATCTGATGCTTTCGAGTAAATCTTTCCCACCGATGAGTACAAGATTATAGATTTTCCAGAATCTTTTTTTTTTTAAGAATCCGACAGATTTTAAAATAAAAAAACTTCGCTTTTGGTAATTAAAATTACTTGTTTTTTAGTAAAATACCTGATTTTTCGACACTTAATTGATAATAACGCAAGAGCGATGTGAGCTTTCAGAAAAGAAAGTTACATTGTAGATTAATATTCGTAGTGCATCCAGCTCGTATAAAGGAGCTGAAGTCATACTCCTAATAGGCTATCAATATTTTCAAAAAAAAAATATAAAAAATTTAATTTTTGACATAGATCTGATCAAATACCAGGAGGAAAAATCATACAAACAACTTCTCTTGATTTTGTTTGTAGTGTCACTGAAATCGACATATGCCTAAAAGCTGAAGTCACAGACTCGAAAGTAGTTAGAGAACTTTTCTTGTCAGTCAGAATATGCTATGTACTATAGAAAGATAATTTGAATAAATCAATCAAATCTCAAGACAATAAGTTGAAACGATCTTTCAATTATTTGATATAAGAAATTTAACCTGTGCTTCTCCTTGATTAATGAAAATCGCTGCTGTTTTCAACTACAGTACATCGAATCGAGCTAAAACTTTCTTCTATTTATAATAGACAGTGTTCAGGGTACATATTTCATTTTTTTCTTAAAGTATGAAATACCGGTGATCTTTGTCAGAATTGACAAAAAAAAATCGATGCATTTTTTATGGATACATTTAGTATCTTGATCTTTTTGTTCAAATGCATCGAGATTAAAAAAGAATCTAAACAGTACACATCTCAAACAGTGTCTAGTATCTATAAAAAAAATTTTCAACTCCGTCAGACATATTGCAGATGAGAAAGCAGGATGATGACTTTCAGTCTTTGTGATCCCGATATCTCCTAAAAAGAAGTATTTAGAAGTTTTCAGTCTATGACAACGTTTCTTCTACTTATCAAGATGATATTCACTCTGAAAATTTCTAAATTTTGTGATCAGTTTTTCTTCGATAGTACCGAAGATGGAAGTTCCTTACGCGTATGCAATATAAACATACCTGCTATTTGAATAAAATGCATTTGAAAAAGCTTTAAGTGCATTTAAACCTGCTTGTCTAACATCGTCATCTAAATTACTAATACATTCATCAATAATTATTTGCCAACATTCAATTGTTTCATTTGGTAAACAAATTTCATTATTATTCTGTCGAAAATAATCAATTGATCGTGATATATTTTCAATAAATGAACAAAGTGATGGTCGAATAAGATCACCTGAATAACCTTCAAGATATCCATTTGATTTATATTCAATTAATAAGTTCGATATTTTCTTTTGTAAATTGTCTCGTAATTCTGATAAATGTTCACATTCGTTTGGATTCTATATTAATAAAAATAAGAAAAGAAAGTTTTAAGTAAGTTTTTCTTTTTTCATACTTTTTGATAACGTTGATAAAGTCCATAAACAATATGACCACAACTAGATAGAAGACCATGTCTTGCAATTCC